TACTAGAGATAAGTAATCCAGGAAGTTTCATACAATATATATCCGGTATAATATAATTACTAATAATGTTACTAATACTATTTTTATTAGTTGTTGTTGCTACTGTTACAAGTGCGGTTGCTGCCTGCAACTACTACAAATGATACCACAAATTAAAAACCCTTAAAAACCATTGGTTATAACGTTTAATGGCGAATGTTTCGCTTTAGAAATTCGGAAAGAATAATGCTATAGTACTTGTAAGATTTTTATGCCCCTGGACCAACCTAAAATACGAATGGGCCGTTGTTCGCTTATCCAGAAATCAAATTTTGGCAGAAGGAATATTCAACGGTTATTTATCACTGGACAGTTTTGAAAAGGAAAGGCAGTCTAACTAAAATGTAAAGATTTCATCAATTTGAAAAAATTTCCAAATTATTTCACATAGTGTCTGGTTGACGACCTTTTTCTTGGCGAAGGTAAAAAATAGTTCTCAGTGCGGCCCTCACGGCAAAAAGTTTGCCCACTCATAGTTTATTTTATAATCAAACGGGCTTTTATATGTATGTGTGTTAAATAAAAAATTATATAGGAAATTAAAAATTTAACCAAATTAGCAAACTCACTTACTGAATAAAATGATAGCCAGTTTTAGGACTGTAATGATTTAAAAGGTTGAAGGTCAATTACATACTCTTCCTATGCTCGGAGGTATCAACAACAACACAACAACAACAACAACAACACACAAACATCGTAGCAACGTATCACACACGAAGCATGTGGTAGGTGGCAATCCTTTTGTCGTATTCGAATCCGCACGCCCAGCGAAGCAGTACTAGACGGTCTTAACAGCTAGGCCTTCTGGACGAGCATCTTCTGATTCATCCTTAGATTTGGATGAGCTAATCAATTTTAATTTATTTGGTAAATTTAATAAAATGTAACTCGTTTTTGTTGTAAGTTTTATTGTAATTTCGTTATACATTTATACGTATATATATATACACGTATATATATATAAATATATAGACGTACTATATATATATATATATATATATATATATATATATAATGCACCCTATATACATATTTTAATATATTAACTTCTAAACGTGTGTTAGATATATTAGCAGAAAAATAACTACAGGTTAATAATCGATTATACATATATATATATATATATATATATATATATATATATATATGTGTGTGTGTGTGTGTGTGTGTGTGTGTGTGCGCGTATGTGCGTGTGCAGTAAAGAATATCTATAGGCAGATGTGGCACAAATAACTACAGAAGCGTCTACGGAAATACAGAAAATTTTTGATAGTATCATGTATCTACATACATGATACTATCAAATATATATATGATATACATGTATCTACATACATTTATATATACAATTGTTATACATAACTATATATATGTATATATGTGTATGTATCATCTATACACATATCTTTATATATTTATGCATATGCGTATATGAAATATTTGTAGAATCGCAACAACGAATATAGTCTATATCATTGTATGTAGTTATTGTTACATGTGCCGTAGGGTTTATTATAGACAATGCACTTAGCTGTTATATATTATATGCCCTTGCATTGGTATTTCTGATAATTTTCGATTAATTTTACTAGTTATATAGAGGAAAATGTGTTATCTACAATATTTTATAAATCCTTAAGTATAGTTATTGAATAAAATAGCATTAAAAAGTTAAATTCCAATTTAAATAACAATTCAACATAAAAACTGAAAACAAGCAAAATACAGTTAGCCCATATACAATTGAATCAAATTGAATAACAGATACATTGAATGGATTGCAAAAAATGAATGGTTGGATAAATGATTTGAAAAAAATAACGAAATCTGCTCAGAATGCACGTGTGTATATACGCAATCAAATGTGGCAGCAACAAAACAAGACACACACACGCGCGCGCGCACACACATAAACAAATCACAAATAATACAAGTTTGATAATAATTGTATTGAAAATGTAATACCATAACAAAAGTTGTACAGAAGCAATCCATGAATGCCGCGGGACGACATACGTATTTTTCATCTTCCGGTTAAATTTTTGAAAGTCATGTGAACTTTTTTTTATTTACAAATCAAAATGTCGTAAAAAAAATTTGCTATCTATGCAAAATATCATCATCTATTAATAATATTTTGTTATTAAAATAATTATTAAAAATTTAAACTCGATAAAATTATTATAAAATCAATTTTTTCTTTCATCATCACATTATTTTAGTGTAAGTAGAGATGTAATTGCATTAAAAAATTGTACAAATTAGAGTTTATAAAATGTGTGAACTTCTGAAGTGAACATGTGGTAGACGAACGCGATCTTTGAAATTACCGCAATGTATCTACAGCATCTCAAATGCATACCTTTTTCATCGACCAATCGCTTTCATTCATAGCTGTAGAACTTTTAAAGTTACTATGCTGAGTAGGAAGATGATGATGTCATAGTGATGTCACGATGATGGTGATGTCACGGCGATAATCACCATGATGATGCCGATGGTGACGTCAGTGATGACAAATCTTGAAAATAAAATTCATATCGGAGATAGTGATGTGAAAAAGGTAATACAAGCGACACCGTTGCAACCAAAATCATATACAATGTACATATACAAAATGATTTTGATGGCAAACTTAAATAACGTTGAAAACAACAACAACAAACAATAAACAATAAAACAACAACAATAACAACAAATTTGATGACATCACCAAGCAAGGACAAAAATAATGACAACAAATTTTTCCTACCCCTAAATATTCATCCAAATTGTATTTCCTTATAAAACGCGCAAATGCGAACTTATCTTGAAATGAAAAAAAATACAGTTTTGATTTAATTAATTCATTCATTCATTCATTCATTCATTTCATTATATTCTCATAATCCAAACAGTGACACTAACCCAAGTACTTACACGCGAGTAACAAGCCAGTCATAACGACATCTCGACATTGTCAGAACAAGCAATAAGAAGTTCATTGACCTCTACCAACACCTCAAAAGTCAGAGTTCATCAAAAGCAACGTTTAACTAAAAAAATTATGAAACAATTATCTAGATAATTATAAATTTAACAGTGTAATAATATGAAGAAAACATCCAACAATCCGAGCAACGTTATGACAATAACAACCATACAACAATAGCATCTATTGTAACATTAACATCTACAAAAGATGACATAAATGTCAACGAAAGTTACATTGACAAACACTGAATGACGTTAAAATAAGAAATAGAAACATTAAACAATGCAACACAGAACGCTCTGCTATTTAAAATCATAAAATGATGGTTTTATAATATAACAAAAAAACACAACCATAAAAATAACAAGGAAAATAAGAACAAAATTTTTTTTTAAATCACAAAGCAGTAAAACAAAAAGTTTGTTATTATCTTAACCAGCGTCAACACAAATCGCACACATACACACACTCGCACACACACACTCACACATACAAACATCTATATACATGAGCGCGCGTGTGTGAGCGAGTGTGCTTAGTCCATCACGAAATATCAAATTAGTTACAGATTATCAACATCATTATCAAAGTCGTAACTACTATCACGCCATCATCATCATCCCCATCATCATCATCATCGTTGTATAGTAGTTAGCCATTGTCATTAAATCATCATCATCATCTGCGTCACCATCACCATCATCATCATCATCATCTGCGTCATCATCATCATCACCACGCCATAAATTTTCGAGTAGGTACAGCTTCATCTTTTTATAACAAACTCTATGAGACATTGATACACTTTCAAATTTTTTTATTATCTTCACCATCGTCGCGGTCGTCATCATTACGTCATCATCATCATCGTCATCATCATCATTATTGGGATCATAATCATAACCGCAATTATCATCTTAGCCGCTTTTGTCATCTTTATTATCATCTTATCATCCAGATCTTTATTATCTGCCCTCATTATTATCAACTGAGGTTTCTTCATCATCGTCACATCGCATCACATCATCATCATCACATCACATCATCATCACATCACATGGTAATAACGTCATCATGATAAACATCAGAAGATTGCTATCATCTGTATAAGAAATCAGCCATTCTAATCATCGAAGTGATAAAAACATCATCAATATCGTAATCGTCGTGAAAAACTTTATCATCATAAAACTGCCACCATCCTCATCCAAAGAAACGTCATCATAGTATCCATAGTATCATTAGAATTTATTGAGATACTGCTATCCTCGAGATAGGTTTATCATCATCGTCGTAAGAAACGCCATCATAGTATCCATTGTATCATTAGAATTCATTGGGATATTGTTATCATCATCGTCGTAAGAAACGTCATCATAGTATCCATTGTATCATTAGTTTTCATTAGGATATTGTTATCATCATCGTCGTAAGAAACGTCATCATAGTATCCATAGTATCATCATAATCCAAAAGAATATTTTTACCTTCGGGATATCGTTATCATTAGGATAATGATATCTTTGGGATATTGCTATCATTATCGTGGTAGTTATCTGTATCATTGATATATCATCATCGTCGTCGTGAGCATCATAAAAATCATCATCATTCTCATCAGTATTAGAAGGAACATTGTCGTAAAATTGTTCTTCCTTCCTTCACTGGCGCTATTGTTGATATTATTGTTATAATTATTGCTATTATTATTTGTATTTTGCAATTATTATTTGCATTTTTACTGGTAACTGTAGTTTTTTTTCATGTTTTTTATGATTATTTTTGTGCCACAATTATTTGGAGTAATTTACTTCGTGGCATATCGTTTTGCTGATGTTGTTAAAATATTTAATTTTGTTTTTGTATTAGTCTCACACGGTTTTTTGTTTCCTGTTTTGTATTTCTTCTGTTGTATTAAACGTTTTTTCTTTTGTATTTTTCTGTTGTATAAAATGTTTTTTTACCTTTATTTTTGTATTTTTATTCATTTATTATTTCTTTTTTTTGTTTTTCCAGGAAGATTTAAGAGTCCATTTTTAACGATTTCCAGGAGAGCATTAATATTACTCCTCTTCCTCTGACTAAATGCTGATGATGATAACAACATGATGATGATGATGATGATGATGGCGCTGATGATGATGATAACAACGTGATGATGACAATGCTGATGATGATGAAGAAGATAATAATGATGATGACAACTCTATTGCAGTTGATAGCGAAATTGATGAAGAAATGATGATGATGATGATGAAAATAATAATAATGATGAAAGCTTTATAGATGCAGATAGCGAAGATGATGATGAGATGATGATGATAACAATTATGATGATGATGATAATGATGAGGATACTGATAACGATGTTATGCTGATAAGAAAGATTATGATGATGACTTTGATGACGACGATGATGATAAAGACAATGATGACGACGACGACAATGATAAATAATAAAAATAATTATATTATTAATATATAATAATATAATAAATATTATCAACAATAGTAATTAACAATAATAAAAACAAAAATGAGAATCAATAGTGCGTGCAAAGATCTTAAGGTGTTGCTCAAATTACTGTGTTTTCGTGTCCTTAAATTGCGGGGCTGAACGTGTTGATGTGATGTTGTGTTGATGTGTTGTTAGGCAGTTTCGCTGCTGCTACTTGTTGTGTTATTCTTACAACGTGTTTTCGGAAGTCTTTTTTCGTTTGTGTTGTTGTTGTTGTTTTTGTTGTTGTTGCTGCTGTTGTTATTGTTACTATTATGGTTGTTAGTGCCCTCGTTATTGTTATTTGAATTGCAGCTGCTAGTCATATTTATATTATTGTTGTCGCTTGTTAATGTGATTGATAAGTTTTTGATGTTGTTGTTGTTGTTGTTGCTGTTGTTGTTGTTAGAAGCTGGAGATGCATTACTTTGACATAATCGTTTACTGCTGCAAGAGATGACAACGGTTGGGTTGCAGATTCGTTTGTTGTTGTTGCTGCTGTTGTTGGTAGTGGTGGTGTTGCTGTTGTTTTTGTTGACGGTTTTGTTGTTGTTATTGTTGTTAGTAACGTTAGTTTTGTTGTTAGTGTTGTTTTTATTGTTGTTGTTGTTGCTTTTGTTGTTTTTGTTGATGTTATTTGTTTCGCTGTTGCTAGCGGTTGCAGTGCTTTTGTTAGCGTTAATGTTGTTTTCATTGGCACTACTACTATTACTAGCACTAACACTATTATTGTTATTATTGTTGTTGTTGTTGTTTTGGCCGTTATTGTTTTTGTTATTGTTGGTGTTGCTTGTTTTATTTGATGCAGTCTTGTTAGCGCTGTTGTTGTTTTTGTTATTGCTGTTGTTGTTGTTATTGTTGCTGCTGATGGTGTTGTTATTGTTGTTATTATTGCTGTTATTATTGTTGTTGTTTTTGTTGTTGTTGTTAGTGCTATCCGAATTATTGTTCTGATTTTTTAAATTCTTAGTGGACTTGCATATCTTGGCAAGTTTTGACAGACCTTGCAAGACGTTCATCTCCCGATTGTTCATCGTTTTGTCTTGTTTCGAGTTGCCAGTTGTCGTTGCTGTAGTTGTTGCTGCTGCGGTTGCTGAAGCTGATGTTGTTGTTTTTGTAGCAACCGTATTTGCTGCAGTCGTTTTTGTGGCTATGGAAGTGGCTGTGGATGAAGTAGTTTGTGTTGTTGCGGATGTGTTTGTTAACGTTGAAGTTGTTTTTGGCGTTGTTGGTGGTGGTGGTGGGGTGGAAGTTGATGCAGTAGATGATTTAACCACTGCAGATGTCAATTTTGTTGTTGTTTTGTTGGCTGCTGATGTTGTTGTTGTTGTTGACGGTTTAGTTGCTGGTTTAGATGGCATTTTTGTAGAATAAAC